ACCGTTTCTTCCGTTTTTCCTCCTCGCGCCTTTCCCCTCCTTTTCCCTCTCCTATCTCCGCCTCGCGGGTCCTTTCCTCCTCCTTCGCGCGCGCATCTGTCATCTGCCTTTCCTTTGGTCTTGCTCCTAACTCTCTTTCAGGCTTTATCTCTTGCTCTATCTCGGGAGGTTGAGGGGACGGCTCACTCTTTGATGTTCCTGCTACTTCCTCCTCACACTAATCATCATTAAATAAAACAATTCCATATTTAAAAATTGCACATTAAACATTGTTTAAAAGATGGTAGGATTGACTCAGTGGCTGACATTTGCAATGGGTTTTCAACAATGGAAACGTCTGCCTAAACAACCAGGTTTTTAGAGATTGTTTTGAAAGTCAGGGAGCCTGGCGGGTGTCCAGGGGTAGTTGATGCCAGAGTCCAAGTGCAACCACTGCGAAGGTCCTCTCCCTTTTGGCCTCTCTTGGATCAACGCCCTCAGACATCCCACCAGGGATGAACGGGCAGGACAGGCAGTTCCTGCCAGAAGGAGGCATTATGTCGTTACTGAGGTCCCAATTAATAGATAATAATACATAAGAGATAGTATTTTTCTCCCAGTTGATGCTAGTGAAACAGGACTGAGGCTGAGGAAGCAATAAGAAGATAATTGTGGAATATTAAAATAACTTTTTCAATCTTCCATGAAAAAAATCACCACCAAAATATTTTTTTAAAAAAAATCCTGGGATATGGTTGGAGTTTATTGACAAATGGCTTATCTCTTTTCTCTTGGAAGTTACTACAGATCAAATTGAGAACCTGCATCGAAGATTTAAGCAGTTGAGTGGGGACCAACCAACTATCCGGTAAGATCCTTGTAAACTTTTTGTCTTAATCCTTAGCATATCCTAAGCATTTAGGATATTTCATTGCATTGGTAGACTTGGACCAGTTCTGGTAGTTTACAAGGTAAATCATGCTTCACTTTTAAGTAATGAGAACCAAAACTGGACTGTTGCATTAAAACATATTAGCAATTAATGCCTTAGTAAAAGCAAGCCCTTGTCTCCCGAAACAGGTACTGAAGACAGCCTGAGCAACTGATAAGTAGAACTCAAAATCTTAATTTACAAGGTCTCTCCTGTAACAGCTGAGTGGCAATTGCTTCCACTTTCATCTCCTGAGCTGAATTACAATCATGTTGTTGTTGTTGAGGTTCCCACCTGTATTGCAGCAACCAAGCATTCCACATGACAGGAGGAATTAGGATGCAAAATTGATTAAAAATGTAAAATCCTCTCCTTTCCTTTTCTCAGAAACTTTTCTTTTCCCCCTCATTTTATTCATTATTCATTACTTTCTTCATCTCTGTGATTCAAGTGTGTTTTCATTATGTATGATTTTAAGAAGGAATCCATCTAGTGAATCTGTGCTTTGTAACTTAGTACTGTAGTTGCTGTAAGTAAATCTCCACTAAAGGGGGATTCCGCTAGGCGGAGCCATTTTAGTCACCACCTTCCGCCACCCTTTGAACCCTAGGCTGGGTGAAACCTAGCGGTGCGTGAAAAAGCAACTATGGGCCAGCTGTCACTTTTTCCCAGGGCAGAAACTCCCCTGAGGCTAGCACACCAACCAGACTAGGTAGACCACCCAAGTAACAAAATTAGCAAGCCTAGCCTTCTGGCCAAGGCACTTTCTTTGAGCACTCTACCACTTTTCTCCCCAAGGATCACACCTTGGTAAAATATTTTTTAAATTATTAAAAATTATTTTAGAAGTAAAAGAATTTTTAAAAGCAGTGCAAAAGCATCAAGTAACGAAGTGAGCTCTACATAAAAAGCAAACCCCATAAAGCTACGTAAAAGGAAAACACATAAAAAACTGCCCAGTTCTGCCAAATGGCTTAATTGCCTCTATAAGCTAGGCAATCATGGTGAAGCTTTTGTCTCCATCATCAGCAAGACAGGCAAGCATGCAGATGTGTAAGCTGCATCTCGCCTCCTCCTTTTCCAGATCTTGAATCAATGTCCTGCAACATGGTATTATCCGATCAAATTAAAGTTCTTTGCTTAGTCACCCCACTCTCAAGATGTAACTTTTCTCAGCTCCACTTCTGCTTTCTCATGAGTTTCTGCTGACACGCAATTAAGATGGAATGTGGTGTCCTGTCTCATTTCAGCACAACTTGAGGCAGGCTGGGCACAGAGTGAAAACAGATCCTTCTCAAGTAGATAAAAGCCACCTGCAGGAGACTTGGGAAGAACTACATAACCCAATTTCCTCACCGTTACTACTGTGTTAATATTACTTACTATTAATATTACTATTAGTATTAATATTACTACTATTTTGTTATTTTTAATTTATTTTTTACTATTTCTCTTATATTTACTTGGTAGATCATACTACAAAATAGAAATATTGATAATCACTTGCATTTGTACATTTATAATAATATAATTTAAATAAATTCAAAAATCTGATGTAGCTACTTTTAAATTGTGTATACATTTCAAATTTTGTTAGGATTTGTTAAAAACTGATGCATTGAATGGTTGAAATTCTGTTCTTTTATTTATGCCATGTAAGACTAGGCTGATTTTTTAAATAAAACAGTTCTGAATTCAGGCAGTGAGTGAACAGAGCAAGCAAACAAGGAAAGCAAACAGGAGTTTGACTTAGTCATAATAGTAAAGATAGTGTTTACTAAAAGAAGAAAGAAAAGGGGAAATCAAGAAGGCAAAGGCAGAGAGAGCACAGCAGAAGAACAAAATTGAGACATACACCAGGAAACGAATTACTAGGACAGCAAACACCAGTTTGATGGGGGAAGTTCAGTGAGGCAGGCCAAGCTAGAGACCCCTAACAAAATTCTTGTTTTCTGGGCATAGCTATAGTCATATGAAAAGGAAAACACTCCCTCTGAATTCTAGTTTTACATATCAGGACATTTTGATTTTTATAGTCATCTGGTCCTTAGCAGATTTGATACACGTGACATACTACAGCATGTCATGATAAAGCCAAAGTGGAGAAGCCATGTGTGAAAAACTAAGTACACCTTATGATTCAATAGCTTATAGAACCATATTTAGAAGCAATAAATTGATCATTTTCTATATGGCTTTATCAGTCTCTCACATCGTTGTGGAGGAATTTTGGCCCACTCTTCTTTACAACGTTGCTTCATTTTATCGCGGTTTTGTGAGCATTTGTTTATGCACAGCTCTCTTAAGGTACCGCTGTAGCATTCCAATCAGGTTGAGGTCTGGACTTTGACTGGGTCATTGCAACACCTTGATTCTTTTATTTTTCAGCCATTCTGTTCTTGATTTGCTCGTGTGCTTGGTATCATTGTCCTGTTGCATGACCCACTTTCGGCCAAGCTTTGGCTGTTGGCCTCACATTTGACTTGAATACTTTGGTATAGAGAGGAGTTCATGGCCAACTCAGTGACTACAAGATGCCCAGGCCCTGTGGCTGTAAAACAAGCCTACAGTCAACCCTCAACTGACAAACTTAATCCATTCCGGAACAGCGTTTGTAAGTTGAAAAATTCGTAAATTGATTTCCCATTTCCCATAGGAATGCATTGAAACCCCGTTAATCCAATCCGGCCGAATTAAAAAAAAAACACCAAACACTGCAAGCCCCTGGGCCTACAAAAAACAACCCCAATAGCCCAATCCCACCCTGCAAAATAAAAAAAAATTAAAAAGGGTTTCTGGCAAGCAAGCCTCACTCAGTTCCCTGGCTTCCCCGCTGCCTTTCTCCACTGCCGCTGCCACGCCTGGACCTCCGCTGCCGCTACCGGGGCTGCTCCCGAGCTTGGGGGAAGAAAGGCTGGATTGCCTTTCTCTCCCACCCTGCGGCTTCTCCTGAAGGGCTGCTCCTGATGGCTTTTGTGGCAGCAGAGAAGCTGTGGGGTGGGGGAGAAAGGTGATCTGCAAAGCCATCAGGATCAGCCCTTCGGGAGAAGCCACGGGGCGGGAGAGAAAGGCAATCGGCACCTTCGGAGCTCTCAAAGGGCTTTTTGCCCAACATTGGAAGAAGCCCTTTGAAAGCTCCGGAGGCAAAAAGGCAGGGAGAAAGGGTGGGAAATTCGAATTTCCAGCCCTTTCTCCCTGCCTTTTTGCTTTTGGAGGTCTCAAAGGGCTTCCTCCGATGTCGGGGGGGAAAGCCATTTGGGAGCTCCAAAGGCAACAAATGGCTCAGTTCACAAAAAATGGCATTGACTTGCAAACGGAATCTCGACCTCATTCGTAGGTCGAGGCTCCGTTCACAAGTTGATGCCAATTTTTGCGAACGGAGCTATTCATAAATCAAAAAGTTTGTATGTGGGACTGTTCGTAAATCGAGGGTTGACTGTAAATTGTCACTCCTCCACCACTGTGCTCAACAGTTTGTATGAGATATTTGTGCTGATATGCTGTGTTTGGTTTTCGCCCATTGGTTTTCACTGTGCATTACAGCCAAACATGTACACTTTGATCTCATCTGTTCAAAGGATATTGTTCCAGAATCTTGTAGTTTGTACAGAAGCAGCTTTGCAAACCTGAGCCATTCTGCTATGTTCTGTTTGTTTGTTTATTTAGAATATTTTGATCCCACCTTTCTCCTTGGAAAGAACCCAAAGCAGGGAATAGAAAAGAGGCTTTAGAGAGAAGAGGCTTTCTCCTGGCAACCCTTCCAAACAAACCATACTTGTTCAGTCTTTTTCTGTTTGTACTGTCATGAACTTTAATATTTAACATGCTAACTGAGGCCTATAGAGTCTGAGATGTAACTCTGGTTTATTGCAATTTCTCTGAGCATTACACAGTCTGACCTTGGGGTGAATTTGCTTGGACGTCCACTCCTAGGAAGACTGGCAAATATCTTGAATGTTTTCCATTTGTGAATAATCTTCCTCACTGTGGAATGATGGATTTTAAATTGTTCAGAAATGGCCTTATTACCAGATTTATGTGCAACAACAATTGCTTCTCTAAAGTTATTGCTGATGGTTTTTCTCCTTGGCATTGTGTTAAGACAAACCTGAATGCTTCAGACCAACAAACTGCTAAAGGTTCAGCTTTCATAGAGGTGGTCACACTTGTCGATGATCCATTACTCAAGGGCATTTGGTTAGCGGCACTTGGCTGCTACTTAGCCTCTTCAGTCCTATGGAAACATCAAGGATGTACTTTGTTTATCACACATGATTCTCCATTTTGGCTTTATTTTTGTAAAAAACACGGTACAATATTTCATGTGTTGTTGTTCATCTGAGGTTGTACTTACCTAATTTTCAGACCTGCTAAGGACCAGAAGATTTTTACTATGTCCTGTTATGTATTAACCATAGAATTCAAAAAGGGTCTACTTTTATTTTCACATGGTTCTATGTATTATGGACTTCCTCAGTATTTTTCAGGGCAAAAGAAAAAGGAAAGGGTACTCACAGACAATCAGAAGTAAGTAAAAAGGTAACAGGGATTATGGAGAGAAAATAGACTTCTGTGATGGTGACTTGCAAAGTATATGTACTGTTTGTCTTTGTGCCTGGGAACAACATGACGTACCTATGCAGCAAGTGCAAACTAGCTGCACTATTGGAAGTGCAATGTTTAAGGCTCTAAGGCATAAAGACCATGTCATCTGCAAACACCTGTACTTTATATTCTTCCCCTCTTATTTTGAGTCCTTTAATATCTGTGTTCTGTCTAATTTGTTGTAATAATATTTCAATAAATAGTACACACAGTAAAGGAGACAATGGGCATCCTTCTCTTGTTCCTTTTTGTATTTTTATATCCTGTGTAAGTTTGCCATTTATTCTGATCTTCACTTTCTGTTTTGTATAAATAGTCCTTTTTGTCTCAAC